CCTGTCTCTCTCTCTCTCTCTCTCTCTCTCTCCCACCCACAGGGGCGAAGGGTGACCCATCAGTTCGGGCACGCAAAATTTAACGAAAAATTGCGGTTTGGTATCTAAATAGCTTTCTTATACGCCTACAACCATATTCTGCTTTGCAGAACAATCTAAACTCAGGGTACCAAACTTTTCACCCATTCCCTTCCATATCGCTCCTTCATTCACTAGAACTAAATGTAGGCCAAGCATCTACAAAGCCTAGATAGATTGACCTAGATTAGATCTAGAGTGGATGTACCCCCAACGACACAGATGCATGCCCAGAGACTCAAAGTTCAAAGCCCGATTTTCTGTTCATTGAACTTGATTTGGTGAAAGTTTTGGTTTAGACATGAATAATAACCTATTTTCCCCAGAAACCAGTCTCTTTTCACATTAGGGATGGTCTTTTTTCCTTAGATATTGAGGCCTTGTGGTCACTGGGGGGTACGTGGCCATTGGGGGTACGTGGCCATTGGGGGTACATCCACTATAGATTTATAATGTAAAAAAAAGGCTCTGATGGTAGAAAACGATGGAATGGCACAATCAGGGCCCCATCCCTTCTGATGAATGGGCACGCAGGATGGAGCAAACAAGGAAATTCCTACTTGATGGTACCCTCCCCACCTTCAGCGACCCGGAAGGCCAAGAACAAATTAATTTTCCAAGCATGCCACAAGTAATTCCTGAATGGAAACAAGTTGATGTTTAAGAGGAGTGGGAAGGATCTGGAGGTAGTGGCCGACCAGAAGGAGCAGCTGACCATCATCCAGTGCACTCACAGTGGAATTGGCACATCCAAAGAATCAAAAGCGCTTGGTGGCCACCTGAGTTGGAACACTGTGGCAAATCACCTCTCCACCAGATACGAGGAGGATGTGAACATGAGCATTGTGATTGGCTGCACAGAGTCTACTGAGTACTTTTTCCAACCCCTGCACGACCATTACTGAGAGGAGAGTCCTCTGCGAAAGAATGGGAGGCCTGAGCGCCCAAAAGGTCAAGTACTGCTGGATGGTGAATGGTCACAAGATTACTGAAACCCTGGTCACCAGGAAGGTGCAAGGGGATGGGAACTGCCTCTTCCGTGTGTTGGCGTACCTGATATCTGGTAATCAAGAGGACCATCTGATGATCAGAGTTGTCATTACAGAAGCGATTGCCAATGCAGGTCCAGGTTCAGTGGTCAGCAATTCATTGGGTGGGAGCTCGTCTGGAAGTACATCTTACGCACCAATATGCCACGGTCATCAGTGTGGGGTACAGAAGTTGAAATATTCACGGCTTCCCAGATTCTGCAGATAGATATTTACACCTACACATTTGGGCAAGGCACTTCACCCGACCAGGACAAACTCTCCTGGGGTAGATTCCCCTATGTGTCTCCTGCAATAGTGGAGGAACAAACAGCCGCACAGGAGGCTGCTGCAGAGTAGTCGAAGAAACGAGTGGACCAGTGCACACCATACACGTTCACCAAGGACCAGCCTACATCGCGCGCACTTTATCTGGACAATAGCACCAGGTGTCATTATGCACCAGTGGTTGGATTTAGATGAACGAGTGTACTTTTTTACTTTTTTACTTGTTTTTACTTGTTTATTTTGCACAAACTCAAGAAGCTCGCCACTGGTATAATTCAACCTAAAATAAGTTTGCATAGTTTTGCATTTTAATTAGATCTATGTTTGGAAGTAAAAAATGCTTATGAAGAATACAAGGGAAGTCCTTTGATTTCTTTTCTTTTCTTTTTTTAAAAACTTTTATTTTGATGCTTTTGAACGTTTGAAGTGTGTACTGAAAAGATACATTGCCAAGTTTTTTGTTGAAGCCTGTGAGCCAAATGTACACATATAAAGCTGCCAAGGATGTGTCATTTTGTTCTCTGGTTCTATGTTTTCACGTAGCATTTCAATAATGTAATGAATGTGGGTTTGAAAGTTGCCAATAAAAATGTTTATTTTTATTCATTTGTCTGTTTCCTTTGATTGTGAAGTGTGAGACACTGCGTATCACACAGGGATGGCGGTGGTTCCGAAATATCCTGGAAGTTCCCAAATATCCTGCCGCCAGGTGCAGGATAAATGAGAATGGTTCCGAAATATCCTAGGATTTTTGGGAAACAGTTCCGATTTATCCTGGTTCCAAAATATTCTACGACAACGGTACTGGAGGCCAGGTGCCGGTACTGACACCTCCTTCGGTAGGACCGAGAGTTCCGGTACTGGGTACCGGTATCTGCCCATCCCTTGACGCAAGACGCGAAGTCTGTGACGTCAACTACTGGAGTCACTCCCAGTACCGGTACCTGCCCATCCCTTGACGCAAGACGCGAAGTCTGTGACGTCAACTACTGGAGTCACTCCCATTACCGGTACCGGTGCCCTGGTGCCCAGAAAGTACCGACACTGAATTTCGCCGGTACCACTAATACTGAGCACTATTTTAAGTGTGCGACCCGTAAAGATCTAGATCTAGATCCAGCCTCATGTTTTCTTTTTTTTTTACTTGGTGCTAAATTCGACTGCGATTCTATCGTTTGATGCCCATCATCCCTTTTTGTGGACTCCTTTGTCAAATTCTTTTTCTTGCCACTGGGAACAATCAACACGATTCTGTACAATCACCAAACCGGAATAGAGATTCAGTCTACACATCTATTTTATAGATCTAGATCTATTTGGCAACTTGGAAACACTTGTGTCACTTTGCTCTTAAGATTTATCGCTCCATTCCAGTAGAGTGTAAATATAGTAGGCCAATGACTTTCAGAGACTTTAATGCACCGATCATTCCTTTCATCGAAATAGGGCCCAGCTAATGTATTATACGTCTTAAAAATGGAATGTTTTATTTTTCTTTCTACAACATCAGCTCTTGGCTGCCGAAGGCTTTTCTATCATTGCTATCTGTTATTTTTGTGGTGGCTGCTATGTCTTTGATTGCATTGCTATCCACGTCGTCGTGAAGTTTAGAGGATGTAAATTTGATAATTGTAGGTGTTTTTACGCCCCTATCGACATGATTTAGATCATTTAGAAGGCTGGTATCGGTCGACTGAGGCAGTCATAGCCAACCTGGTCAAAGATCGATACAACATCACAGCGGGAAGACCGAGATTAGCCTACTCTAACAGCCACTTGTCCGAGACAATCACCTGTGCATATTATGACCACTTCGTTCTGCCCTCCCAACCACCTTGCGGTTGTCTTAAAATATAATGACACTGTCCAAGACACCCGCCTGTCTAAGACAATCATTTTCCCCCTCAAAAATGGGTCGCCGATCTTGGACTCTTTCGATTGTACTCGATACAAATTTTCCCCAGACTGGAATGGAACTCGAGTCTCCCGTGTGCAACGGTGAAGTGTTTGACCACTACACCACAGACGCTGGTGGTGAGCCAGGAATAAAGAACTGGACTCGATCATCATTTTGGTGTGTGTGCGGGGGTGGGGGGGGGTGGGATGGGAACTTGGATAATTAAGAGATTTTTTTAGCAAGGGTGCACTTTGGAGGGGTGGAGGGGGGGGGGGAGGGCAGGGCGAAAAAAGGGTAGGGCTGAAAGTTACCTGTAGTGGCATTTTTATATTCAGACTCATGTTTTATGTGATAATGTTCAGTCGAACCTGTCGGTGACGACAATCTATTGTCGAGGAGAAAAGTGTTCGTCTGAGACCTAATATGGTCCTATTTGGAATTTGTTTTTTTAAATTAAAAGGCAACAACAAAACAAAGAAAGCCAAGAAAGAAAGCCAACAGATGGGGGCGGGGGTTAGAGGAACTGGTCGTTTGTGCACGCACGTGATTGTCTTAAACAAATTAAAAAGATGGTCGATAGAGCAGGCCCGACTGTATTGTGATGCAGATAGCCGTGCAGTAACTGGATGTTTACAGTCTTAAGGTAACTGCTTGATTTAAATAATATGAGGCAGCGTGGTGGAATCAGGCTCTCGTTAAAATAATCAAAGTGAAGAAACATGCATTTTTTCGCAGGTTTATGAATTTTTTTTATTTTTATTTTTTTGTTTTTTTGGCTCAACACCTTTCATACCCATTAAAGAACTCATTTCTGTGTGGATTTTCATTTAAAATGTTGATTAAAGGCACAAAAAATGTAAATTTTCATTTACCACGGACTCTTAAGATAAGGAAATAACTAATCTTTGGCGGCCATTTTCTCTCTAGTTTTCCCTGAAAACAAGTGACCCCCACCTCCTTCTTTCGCAACTATCTCGACTTGTATTCAAGATAAATGGATATTTTTTTTCATCCAAAATAAAGACAAGTGAACGAGCTTTAAGATGATACCAATAACTCTACATGCCCATAAATTGACGAGAGCCTGATTTCAACACGCTGCCTTATATATAGATGGGAATTTAGAAGGGCATTGGGGGCGGAATTTTTGTGCGGAGAAAAATTATACCCTGTTGGGCACAGATTAGCTCAAAAACAATATTTGTGTGCTTTTGTCTAAATAATTACTCCAGCAAACCCTCGAACACCCACAAAGATTCTCGGCTTCCCGGGAAGCATACAATGCAAGTAGTCCATTAAGCACTAAATTAAACACTAATAAACTGACAACATCTTTCTATGTCTATAGCCGACTATCTATTCTCATTTGGGTGAAGTGAGGCACATTCGTGTAAAATGCCTTTCCCTAGGACACAAAGTCGGGTCCAGACGGAAGTCAAGCCTACGTCCTTTCGATTGGGAGCCCAACAGCCTAACCATTAGACCCCCGATGCCACAATAGATTTCAAAAGCAAGCAACATGATATCGACCAAAATCAAGATTTCTACACTATTATTCGTTGATACCTCCCAAAGCCCAACCCCAGGACCACGTCCCGGGAGGTGGAAACTGGACAAAGTAGGGGATTGCTGGGTTCAACGAAGTACGGTGTGGCTTTACGCCACTGAGGCGTCACGCTAGCCGTCAAGGAGAACTCGGGTCACCCCGAAAAGTTGCAGGCTAACGGGGCTCTGGTGAAACTGTGACAAGCCTAGTAAGTCGGCAACGGATTATTTATTGCTAAAAACACAGAAAGAAGAAAGAAACGGACTGACATAGACGGAAAACGACCCGGAAACGTTAAAGGATTACGAGAAAGGATTTGTTATGCCAAACATGGACCACGAACAAGACATTAGAGCAAAAAAGTGCAAGATCTGAAAAGCGATGCCTTAGAAAAGCAGTAAATTAGAAACTCTGTAATCCAAGAAATGGTGGGCACAAATGATGTCATGCATCACATCCAACACCAAAGAATCAAAAGGTTCGGACATCTCCTACGATTACGAACACACCATCCAGGCCAACGTTCCTACATCCAAAAATTCGATGGCAACAATGCTAGAGGGCGACCGAGAAAGACCTGGATAGATGGAAGCAGGGAAACATTAACCACCCACTTCATCCCCCTGACCCAAGCTCTCCGGCTGGCGACAGAGAGACGTCTCTTTCTTCACGCGACCACCAAAAGGGAAAAGAGGCGGATAAAAGAAAAAGGAAAGTATTCGTTGATGTCCCCTTGTAGAGACGAATCTACCCCTAAAAAGTATCCATAGTCAAAACTTTCTGCTCCTTGGGTACAAATTGGGACCCCCCCCCCCCCCCCCCCCCCCCCCCGGAGGAATCAGGCGATCGTCAATTTTTGACCATGTGGAGTTATTAGTATTGCATTAAAGTTTGTTCATTTGCCTTGCTTTCGATGAAAGAATTACCCATATGTATATGTTCACATATTTGCGATTGAATAAGGTGGGGGTAGCCTGGTTTCAGAGGTAAAATTAGTGATAAAATGGCCGCCAAAGTTTGGTTATTTACAAAACCTCAGAGTCCGTGGAAACTGACAATTTACATTTTTTTGTGTGCCTTTAATCAACTTTTTCAATATAATTCACACTGAAATGGGTTCTTAAATAGACATAGAAGGCGCTAAGCCAAAACAGAAAATTTCGATTAAAATCGTCAAACTAGCGGGAAAATGTCCGGGTTTTTTTTTTACTTTCATTATTTTGTCGAGCGCCCGATTTCACCACGCTGCCTCACATATAAAAATGAATTCTCTATTTAATAGTTATCATGTCTTTCTAGATGTCTTGCTTGGTTATAAAACCAGTTCTACCATGATCTATCATAAAGAAATTAATTGAATATATAAGTATTTTACGTCCTCATCGACACAGTTTACAATAATTAGGAGGCGGGCTTTCAACCCTGTCTGTCATAGACAACCAGTGCAGAGAGGGATACATCATCCCAGTAAAAAGACCGGGTTTCTAAACAAAAAATCCCCCCCCCCCCCCCAAGGAAACAAACTAGTGTGTTCAGCGTGCGTCAACGAAGCGCCCAACCACTACATCACAGACGAAGTGATCTTGACCTTGACCAGCAATGATTTATTTATAGAGACACACAGACGAAGTGATCCATCATCGTCACTTTAAATAACAAAAGAAGGTTGAACAGGGTAGGCGCAGATTGCAGTTCCAAAATGTCGAAATCTTTCCGTCTGTGTGTTTGAAAGGGGTGCCTTTGATTTGCTTCATAGATGTATACTCCTATATCGCACCCTGATCCTTGCTCTCTATAAAACCATCGCTGCAAAGAGTGCCTCGCATTGGTCGCGCCATTATACCCAAATGAAGGTCAAAACACCAAACTCGCTACAACCCAATGACTGTCCAACGCTTGCCTTTCGTTGGCTCAACGGTGCTGACTCCTCGTGCCACAGGTGCCAGGTTAAAACCTGGTCCATATCGGCATATCAAATGTTCGTCTTTTTCTCTTCTTCTTCTTCTTCTTCTTCTTCTTCTTCTTCTTCTTCTTCTTCTTCTTCTTCTTCTTCTTCTTCTTCTTCTTCTTCTTCTTCTTCTTCTTTTTCTAAATAGATATATTAATCAATAAATGAATAAATAAATAAATAAATAAATAAATATAAAATAAATAAAACAGATAAATGAATAAATGGAACACTTGTGTTGACCCACTCACTCGCTTACAAGAATTTTTTTCGTAACATGCTGGTTCATACGATTTCTATGGTGACAAGCTGAAGTCGTACTTGAAGTAAGGATTTCTCCTTCAACATACTAATTCAATATGCCTTTGTTTAAAGATTTCTCTTGTAACAGCTGGCTGGACCATACCTTAATGAATAGATTTCGGAAAAACAGGTGGATTTATATTCTAAATGTAAGAATGTAAGGTAAGGATTTTTCCTGAAACATGCCTCGATGTTGATGACATGTATCAGCGAAAACTGTTTACTGCTTGGGGCCAAGACATCAATTCCAGAAACCGAGAAAGTTCTACGAAAGACATTACACGCAAGGAAAGGAACGAAAGGATAACAACTCCTCGCCCCCCCCCCCCCCCCAAACAAAAAAAATAGTCTGACCTAAATGTCTTGTATCCTTCATCCATGACAATTATTGTTTATCGTTATTATCATTGTTATTAATATTATTATCATCATTATTGTTATCAT